GCAAACCTAATTGGGAGCACCTGAACGACAAGCTCCATGTGCTCATCACCGTCGAGGACTCCAACAATAGGGCCAGCGTTAAGATCCAGAGAGCGATCGACGAGATTAAGAAACTCCTGATACCGATAGTAAGCGTTTGAATTGATGTGTGTTTTGAGTATTTGTTTAATTGTGGGTTTTTTGTAAACTTATTAGACTGACGGTGAGGACGAGCTTAAGAAACGGCAGCTCATGGAACTGGCGATCATTAACGGCACGTATAGGGACAGCAGTCAACGAAATAGTAGTAAGTCTCACAGCTTTTCAGTAGATCTATGGTTCTTTGGTTTGCATTTCAGTTTTCAATACCATTCGTTTGATTGTCATTTAATTGATGGTATGATTCATTGGAAATGTCGCAACACTTGGTATAAAATATGTTAGATATTGTGTCGAGTATACAATTGTGAGCTTTATTTGATATACTAATCGGGGATAATAACATCTAATCCTAACCTGGTGAATACAGTTCACACAATAGTTGACAGAATAGTTTGACACGTTTTATGCCAATTGTTACGATATTTCTAACGAATCGGACGGTCAATGAATTGATAATCAAATGATAGGCATGTAGTGAGAATTGAATGCCTACTCTACAGAGTCATAGATTACTGGCTGTAGTTTTATCACAAGAATATCGGTTCAAATCACACGATTAAACCCTGCGTTGGTTTATGTATTTCCTACCCATTCTCCATGCAANCACGTTTTATGCCAATTGTTACGATATTTCTAACGAATCGGACGGTCAATGAATTGATAATCAAATGATAGGCATGTAGTGAGAATTGAATGCCTACTCTACAGAGTCATAGATTACTGGCTGTAGTTTTATCACAAGAATATCGGTTCAAATCACACGATTAAACCCTGCGTTGGTTTATGTATTTCCTACCCATTCTCCATGCAATCAGTCGAGCAGTGCATGCAATTAGGTATAGACGCGGAACAGTTGCACAAATTGACGCCAATCCCGATGGCGCTGACCACTCCGCTCAGACACCACGCCCACCACCAGACGCCCATCGGCGCCCCGTTGATCATCTCGTCCCGTCAGTTCACGGTGCCTACCAGTGCCGCCCATCATATCAACGGCAGCGGACTGCCGCCCCTTATCGCGCCCACTGACGGCATACTCTACAGTCCGTACGCCGACTTCCACTCGCAGTACGCGGCGCTGACCTCGCCGTCGGCCGCCGCCCTGTTGGCCGAATACCCGACCACTTCGGTGGGCACCGCCGTCATCGACTCACTGACCTCAACGGGTGGGTTATACACACGTTAGCACTGTTTTTAAATAGTTTTATAAATAGTTTTTTTTGTTGTTTTTATTTGTCTAAGTTTTTTTTTGATTACAACGATGACTAATTTTTTTTTCAATATTGAAGTGATTTTCTTATGACTGAAGTGTTAATTCATATATAATTATGCGATTCTTATGCATAAATGCTGTGATATTTTATTCGTGTCTCTATATATCTATCTATATATATCTCTATCTCTCTATGTTTCCCACTATTTCTCTGAAGTTTTTTGTCTCTGAATTTTTTTTTGTCAATTGATTGTTTAAATTATCACTCATAAGAAATTATTGATTCACTTATCAAATAGAAATCCTTTACGAAACTCCTAAGTACTGCCGATAGAGAGTGAAATAGCAGTGACTATTGAAAGGACTGGTATCCTATTTGGCCCTTAAATTCAGTTAAATCGACACATTCTCTAAGATTATTGCTCTATAAAAGGGTCCACAAGTGGTCATAAATATTATAATTGTTATTATTTTGTTTTTAATCGTATAATTCAAATCAAATCTCGGTGTTGCGAGCCATGCATCTACTTAAAGCGATTTTAAAATTATTATTATTATAATTATTATTATATTATAAATATTCTATTATAAATATGATTAAGTATATATAAAGTATTTCGCTTCGACATGTTTTTATTATATAATGTTTTTCTAGTTTTTATTTATATATATTTTTTATTTATTACAACAAAGCAATTATGAAAAGTAATGAATGATTATTGAATTATATAATGATATAAACACTCTGTTTTCATTTTATTATAAGAAATCTCTAATTGACATCACTTTGGTTGATCACAAAACACATACACTTTTTCTCATTAGTTATTTAGTTAGCTATTGATTATTATACGAAACGTATTTTTAGTTTAAACCGCAAATTTTTCAGTGAATTTGTCGTTTTTATATTTATATGTATAATAGGATTGAATTTAAACACAGAGTGTTAGTATGGTGTGTGTGCAATTGAATTTAAAACCCTGGTGAGTTGTATTTCGTAAGCATTTCAGTTACTATTTTAAATATCTCTTTTTTGTAATTTATTGCAATTATATGTGCGTAACTAAAGTGATGGCAAATACCAATATATTTGTGAATAATTAGCTCCGAAAACGAGTGTATCATATATTTTAAACTTCTGAGAAAAATAATAAATATAAGTTAATTATATTGAGTTCAGAGTTTAATATGAAATTAAAGTGAATTTTATTGTTATATATATAAAGAAATTGATTTGAATTTGATTTACGTGTCTCTCACTCACTTCCCTTGTATTTTATGCCACGATGAAATTGTATTTTAATTTGAAAACTATATATTTTTGGGACCAAAAAACACATGCACCACATATAAAGCGACCGATTATATGCGAAAAAGTGCCAAAAATACATACACACCGACCGCGACTCAACCGTTTTTATTTATAGTCAAAATATATAATTTTAATTTTAATTATACATAAATTCGACACTTAATTGATTGCAGTACTCTATTTAGTGGCAGCTAATTGATTGATTATATTATTTATATAAATACCTTGATATATTTGTCTCTCACTTATGTTTTTCTCTCGAAAAGCTATTCAAAAGCAAAGGTTTTTTTTCGTGTCGAGAATTATACGCTTTTTGTTTTTATTATTATAATTATGATGATTAAATATTATAAATATTATTATTATTGGTTTTTAAAAAAGTCATATTAATGTAAAATAGTTTCCAAAAAATATAAGTTTTTTTTCTCTCGTATTTTCAACTTTTAAATGATTATGTAAACAAATTGATAAAGTTGTAAATTATATTTGTTTTTATTAAAAACTACTATAATATATAAATTAGAGTATATTTTTTGTCGTCTAGTATTTATTTGGAAACTGTTTTATGTTTTATAATATATATATATATATAAGAAATGAAATGAGTTTTATTATTAAAAATGAATTATAAAAATTGATTTTAAAAAACATAACGGGTAAAAGTTTTTCATACTATTTATTATTATAATTGTTATAATTAATTATTTTTTAATATATTAATATTTTCTATTAATTAATTACTTATTGCATACAATTTATTAGTCAATTAATTAACTAATGCTTTTATTCTTTACTAATCCACACCTGAAAACCCCAACAAACTATCTGTGCTGTCCATCAACACATACCGGTCCTCCAAAATGCAGGTACGGCTGTTGGGAAGGATAAGCGACAGCGCAGTACCACAACTAACCGATACTTACCGTATGATACGGTGTCCGCCGCGCAAAGACCCGCGTCTTAGACATCACTATCACTACTACTCTCCCTATCATCTCAACCGACAACTGATACACAAAAATCTCAATAATCTGTTCAATACAATACAAAAGGCGTACAATATATCACTACTACTATTAACTACTACGATATGTATGCAGAATATACGTACAGAATATTCTGTGTACGTATGTGTTTATATACCATATATTTTTGCCCCCACTCTCACACATACACACAATACTTAACGATAACAAAAGTGTTTTGTTTGATACGGAAAGTGATTGAACCTGTCTCATTTCTCTATATCGAGTCTTATTTTCTAGATGAAGAAATGTGTGCCAATTATTATAACAAAAAATAATTTAATTAATTATTTCATAACAATAATACATTTATTTTTGACGTTAAGATTTTTTCGCATTCAAAGTTAACTGACATAAAGTTTATTGTTTATGATATATACAGTATATATTACACAAACAAATTTCATTGATATAACAAAACAAAAGTGTTTTTTAAAATTAACTTGATTTAATCGATGCCTACCATGAGTGCCATATACTCATCCATTTATATATAACTTAACAAATAATATATAATATAATTAATACATAAGTGCTCTTAATATTAGTGCCCAAACACATTGTCCGTCCATAAGGTGTCGATAATATCTATCGCTATATTACAATACAAATGAATTTAATCCCAGAATACGAGGATAAAAAAGTTTTGACTTCTTATGTAGTGTTAAGTCGTGTGCGAAAGGAACTGATGAAAGGATCAGGGATTTCAGGATTATCCGCAGCTCTTATTATACTGTGTTTTATATATGATTAGTGACTATTTGAGTGGATTTGCGTACGAGTCTAGCAATCGGTTTAGTATTTTGTACGATATTCTCGTAATGCAAAACAAATTCATTATTATATATCGAGTGATGTTTTTTGTCTTATAAATGCCTTATTATTATATCTGAAACTTTTAGTGCAATTAGAGACACAGACGGTGTTTAACCGTCTGTTTTGTTATATAATTACTTATTAATGAAATTCTTAATTCATTTGTTAAGAAGCAAATATTTATATGAATGAAATATTTTTTGCATAAAACATATTTGAATCTCTTTTTATGTTATTTTAGGAATTAAATAGTTATTTAGAAATTGTGTTATTCTTTACGAAAGAATTAGTTCACTATTAAAGCGGTTTTGTTTTGTCTTAACAGTGACTAGACTTTGGGTTTGATTTGTATTTTAAAAGCGAAACTAAATCTCATTTAAACATATTTTCAAATTAGAAATCAAAACTTTTTTGCAATCAATTATTAACATGGTAATTGAATGTAGCACTTTGATGCAATACTTATTTGTGTGACAAAACTTAGTAATTGAGTTTTAATTTGTTTTGTGAGACACAAGCAATTGAAACTGTATTGTACTTAATATATAATACATAAGCAAAAACACCATTAAAAACTAAAAGTAACGCTAATTTATAATGAATTGATAGTAATCGGGATATAATCCGGGCTAAAAATGGCAGTAATGTTGGCAATAATGTTGTGATAGTTTTTTAATCACAAATAGTTTTACAAATTTGTGTTTAGAATAGGAATCGGAATTAAAATATAATGAGTTTTATTGTAATAAATCAAATTTAAACCATTTTAGACCCGGATTATTACCGTTTACTTTAAATAATATTTACAATTATTTAATATAAAAACAANAATTTGTGTTTAGAATAGGAATCGGAATTAAAATATAATGAGTTTTATTGTAATAAATCAAATTTAAACCATTTTAGACCCGGATTATTACCGTTTACTTTAAATAATATTTACAATTATTTAATATAAAAACAATGAAAATAATTATTAATTTTTTGGATTGATTTTAATATAACAGTAAAAATTGAAAATGAATTTAAAACAAAACAAAAGGTTTACTAAAAATTATTCTTTCATTTCTATTTAACACCAATTAATAAATGTTTTTGTCATTCAAAAACTATATGTCTCTCACAAACACCAGGGTTTTTATTTTTGGAAAACAAGTAATTTATTAATGAATAACTTTCTGTTAATTAAATTTGTTTCGTCTGTCTATCTATGGGTGTAATAATTAATGCTTTTTTTATTTAAATGTCTTTTGCTTTTCAATTATTAGTAATATTTTTGTGCCAATCAATCATGTATTTTAACACTTATTATAATTAACACACAATTAATATGAAAATATTAATGATAATTAATTAATTGTCTTAATTCGAGCCAAACTTCCGATTAATTATAACTAATATTTAGATGATTTTAAAAATACAAATATATTTAACTTTATTGCTATTGATTAACGTTTTAATCCAGACTTTGTATAACAATATTAATGCATAATATTATTCAAGAATAATAAAAATATTCTTTATTTAACAAAATAATTGTAATCCAAACCTAACTTTAATATTAATATTCTTTACCAGAGATGGAGTTCCCCTTCGCCTAACAAACACTAAATTCACATCACATTGAATACCGTAACCATTCCCTGTCCTCCACTTTCTTCCCATCTTCTTAAGTCTCTCTCTCTCTCTCTCTCTCTCTCTCATCCCTAAGCCATCACTCGTAGAGCCGAAGACTACAATCAAAAGTCAAACCAAAGCACAGACTAATGAAAACTAATGACTCTTTTAATATATTATTTATTTATTAACATTGAGTTAAGTATTGAG